CAAGGATATTGGTCTCCTTATTTATATGCAATAGTGGATTAATTTTTGTCAGTGATAAGGAAAATTAAAAAGCAAGGATATTGGTCTCCTTATTTATATAGTGTATCTCCTGGCATCAAAACCCAAGACTGAGTGTGGTTCCTAAGATGAGCAGCAGACGACACCACAAGTGGAATATAAACCATAAAACAGGCTTGATTCACACATTTAGAGCTGGAGCTCAACCTTACTGTAAACACAAACCGTTGGTCTGATTTCACTCCATGGGTCTGATTCTGATGTGTAGTCAATGACCAATCGAATCACTGCTTCAAAAGTATCACAACAGCGCTGAAAAGGACAGACTCTTTCAAAGAGCTTGAGCATCCATGAATATGTAATACTATGAATATCTGGCTGTGTTTGGACAAAACAATCAGTGTGATTTTAGACTTTAATCAACTTTTTATAACCTTGCATTTCCTGGTTTAGATATGACATGATATTTAAAACTTGACTATTTAATATCACTGCTGATAAGAGATCACTCTGGTAAATAAACACTAACAAAAATCCAAAGAATCTGAAACATCACAGCTGACGTACCTGTAGCTGGACCAGTATTGAGATCCTTGGCCTGTTTTACGGTTGATTTGTTCACCACACAGCTGGACGACACACAATTTGAGCTTGACAATGTTTCTAGTGATGAGGAAATCTGTTTAACTGATAATGACAGATGTTACTCTGATGTTATTTTGCTTTCATGTGTATGAGTGTTGTGTTGAGAACGTTGATAGTTAATTTTATATGCAATGTGGAAATGCACCGCTAGGGGTCTGAAGAGGATCATTCTGCTGAGGATGATAGAAACGTGTAGAGATGGAGAATAGTCGTGTGAGTGAGAGGAGCGCGCCCTTACGAAAATTAACCATGGTTTTATTGTAGTAAAAGTGTTGTAACCATGTTTTTTTTGGCGTATTAATTACCATTTGTGTAACCACAGTTTTACTACAAATACCATGGTTAAACTATGGTTAGTGTAGCAAAACCATGGTTCATTTGTGGTTACCATGGTTTAATAAGTTACCATGTTTTTTTAATTTAATTTGTAGTAAAACCATGGCATCCCTATGTAAAAAATATCTAAGTAGGCCTATGTGCGATCAGAATGTGTCTCAAAGCATAGTGTAAGTTGAAAAGAGTATGCCAAAACTACCGGTACTGTGTTTTCGAAGTGTGGATCCGCGCACACTCTGGAGAGTTAATTTGGTTTAGATTAGAACTACAAACACGAATAAAAAGAACTACAAATATGGCGGATGTTCGCGAGCCCGACGGTTAGCCGAGACGCCCTGAGAGGGGTTTGAGTTGTAAATTAATATCTAACCTGGTGAAAACAAATTTATTTAATGATATTTTGTATTTTACAGACGTTACCAATAGTACTGTGAACTTTTATAAAGCATACGAACAGCACTTTTTTGCCATTTACTCTTTATTTCTTTATTTCTTTCCAAAATAACATGGTTGCTACAATTTTGCTATAATAAAATCATGGTTAGTTTTGTAAGGGCTCGCATGAAAGACACACGACTGGCAAATCAACATGCTAATTTATTTATTTATTTATTTTCCAAAAAGGAATGAAGAATTGAAATTTGGATAGTTTATATGAGGATGTAAGTGTTAATGTGACAGGATGATATACAGGCCGGTTTACACTGCAAGTATATGCTTCAATTTATGACGTCGTAGTATTCCCCAAAGCTTGATTATGCTACACTCAAAAAAAATTTTTTTTTAAATTTATTATTTTTTTTTTTAAGTACATACTTTTAGGGGATAGAATAAGTAGGCAAATTGGGATGCAGCAGAGGAAACTTAAAGTTCACTGGCATTTGCATCCTTTTGTGCAGATTCAAGTCTATGTGATGTAACTAAGTCATAGGATGTCATAGAAGGGGCTTCAGTTTACTGGCATAAAGTCACTCTTCAGCTTCACCTCAAATAGCTTCAAGGCAGCTATTCCTTTTAGATGCTTCTAACAGTGGGTAATCTAACAGTGTTCTAATCAAGTGTTTGTGTTTTCATAAACAGGTTTTCATGTCGTATATTTATTTTTAACATTCATTTTCATAACAGTCTTCAGATATTTTCATTATCTCATGATGGCCATGCCCCGCACCCCGAGTACTTCTTTTTGAAACCTATTGAAATGAGAAATTGCCCAAAATGCCCATCCCTAATTTAAAATGTAAGTTTCATCACTGTTGTTATTGTTTATATGTGCTGTAAGTATCATAATCATTATACTTAACAGATCTACAGGCTATACAGTGCTGATGTTTGTAGTGTTTGTTATAGATCAGACACACATTCACACTAATGACTCTCTCTCTTTATCATTACAGTATCAGATCTGTCTCCAGCTGCTGTAGCAGGCATTGTTGTTGTTGTTCTGCTGGTGTGATTCACTATTGCCACAAGATCACTGAAATACGTAAGTATTTCAGAAGCAACAGAAAAATTAGCTTTATTGTGTGATATGAAAGTGTAGACAAAAAAAAGGAGATTAGAAAGCTGCAGCAAAGTGTAATATTTTAAGCAAATAACCACTTATGTGCAATTAAAGTTGTTGTATGTGTACTCATAGTGCGCAAGTCATATGGAATAATTTTATGATGCATTTCTGGTGTCTTCCCCATTTTTTACTCTTTGTGATAGTCACGACAATATGTCATATGTCAATATGTCAAATAATGACAGATTTATGTAGTGATGTAATATGTGTCATGGTTTTTAGACAGATCTCCACCTCTTATGTACAATATTTGAGTTACATACAGTTATGTGTTTTCCTATGTTAACATTATTGTAAATTGTTACAGCTATTTAAGAAAAAGAGATGACAAACTGATTATTAGAAGCACATGTGAAGAACCACACAGCATCTTCTCAGTGTTTCTGATGTTTATCTGTTCATTCACTAGTAATCTCCTCATTTCTGTTTCTATGTGCTGCTGCGTGACATGAAGCGGAGACAGTGTCAGGGATGGAGGGAGACGATGTCAAACTAAACACTGTGTTACTAAAATACAGACAGGTGATCTGATAGAGTAACAGTCTGGAAATGAAGACTCTCTCATAGCTAAAATCAAAGGAGGGAGTGTAGATATCAGTTCATATGATGATGTTCTTCATGGGATATACAGAGCAGACTGACGCTGGATGAGACTGGATTTCTGACCATCACAAACACCAGAATTGAACACACTGGACCCTATAAGTTACTGATTAACAAGAAATACAAGAGGAAATGTATTGTTTATATCAGAGGTGAGTATCTCCAGACTTTCTGTGTAATAATGATCACAGTTCTTCATTCATTCTGTTGGACTGTTTCTGTGGTTTCTTCAGCTCATAGACCCTATAGGGTTTGTTCTGAAGATCATTTAAGTCTTCATTGTGCTTTCTCTTGTTAGATTTTATAAACTTTATGCTTTAGAAAAAAATAAAATAAAATTATAAAATACTATATATATGAACTAGATTATCATATAAACAAACATTTATGCAAAGTGTGGTCTAGCAGTCACATGTTTCCAGCATGTCAAAACACCAGAGATGCAGGTTCAGTTCTGGCCAGTGCCATGTTCCTTCTCTATTCTATGGTTTTGTTAAAATTCGAAAGTAACACAATTGTTGTCATTTGACATACATTTTTGTAATATATCTGATGTTAATTGTATCAAACACTGCTATATGAACTATTTCATTTGATTAAACTCTCATAGTATCATATACACACTGAAACTCAAACGTCTTCACAACAACCCAAAAACAACAGTTCTGTGTAACTTAAAGAAATGATAACAGAAATATATTTATTATTGAACAGTGGAATGTACTTCTTAAAGTACTATTGCAACTAATATAATTGAAAGCTAACCCTTTTAAAAAAAGTAAAATTGTGTGTGTGTGTGTGTGTGTGTGTGTGTGTGTGCTCATATATCAGTAAAATAAGCCACTATGGACTATGTCAGGATTATGGACCAGTCTGTGTGTGTTTTTCTCCCCATGTGCTCCATGACTTAGTTTCTCTCTTGTCTTATTGCTTCATTTGATTCGTCTGTGCTCACCAATTACCCCTCGTTAAGCCATGTATTTAAAGTGTTGTCTGACCCATGTTTCCTGGTCCAGTGTTATACGTCTTCATGGAAGTGCTACGTGTGTGTCCTGCCTGTATTACCCCTTTCTGTGGATTATTAAAGACTGTTTAGTGTGATTCTCCTACGTCTCCGCGCTCCTTCATTCCTCACAGTAGCAACCCTGACACATATGTAGGTGTAGTCATAAAAAGAAAAAATACTGTGACATACATTATTAATAACTGTATTACATTAATTAATATGACATATTTAAGGTGCATGTGTAGTTCATTCTTACCAATGCTTGCTCTCATGTTTAATGAAGCTTTACTGACTTATCATTGCTCCTCATTTTTCTTCTTTCTCCTCTTTCTGTGACATGCAGTGAAGTCAGGCGAGTATCTCAAGTCTGTGAATGTAATAACAATCACTGTTCTTCCTCATACATTCTATTGTTCTGTTTCTGCAGTTAATTCAGCTCAAACTGCTTAATATACAAATTTAAAACTTGTATGTGTGAATGTGAGAACATGAGTAGCACAAATCTCACTGACAAAGAAGGGGAAGAATATAAAGCAGAGAAATCAAGAAAAGAGTAGAGACAGCTGTGAGACAATGAACAACTGGAGCGTGAGGGGAAAATAAAATAAAAAACTAGCAGAGAAGAGAGGGAGACGTCCTGACATCTACTTGTATGTTTCTATGCTTATTGTGAGCTTTTCAGCAAATGAGATTGAAATGATTTCGAGCATTTTATTTGTAAAGGTAGTTTGACCTCCAAATCTTCTCTTTTTATTTTCTCTTATTATCTCTGTATTTTTATTCAAGTTCCACAGAAGTGAATGAATCAGTAACTGTAGAGATACAGTTACACTGTTGAATGTAGAGGATGTGGATGTAGTGAATGAGGAGGAGGGGACGAGTTCACTTTAATAATATAAGACCCGCCCACAAGTGTCAATCACTCTGACACACACACACACACACACACTTCTCATCCTCTAGTCTTAATCAGATCTGAATGTCAAATTGTAAATGCAATCTGAATTTATAGTGCCTTTGTATTCATGCTGAAGTATGAATGTATTGTTTTTATTAATTTTGACAAAAAAACATCTGCTTGATGAATACATATTCACAAGATATTGATATGCCGCTGATCTTAATGTTGTATAATTTCTGTCCTCTAGTGGACAAACACTGATGCAGCTTTTGCTTCCTAACAACTCTTTTCACATGAAACGCATGAAAATGTACCTGAATATAAAAATACAAATTTGTGTGAAATGTGTTGCTGCATACTGTATGTTCTATGATTGATGTACAAAATCAGATCTACAGAGTAAACTGAATATGACCAGATATAGTTGAGGGGGAAAAAGCACATAAAATCAAATTATTTTGTAGGTGTGTTAGTTGAAATCACAAACACCCAGGAAGCTATAAAATCAGATTTTGTTTAATTAGTCACTGAATGAAACAGTGCAGCATAATAATAATAATAATAATAATAATTTTTGTGTGTCAATTGAAATATGACGTTTTAAATTATATTTATTACATTTTGTTTTTATTATTTTACAGTTTAAAAGTACCATCTAGACAGGCTTTTGTTGCAATTCAAGAATCTTTATTGCAATTCATGAAAAGACTTGTAAATGCACTTCTTCAGCACATGGTGGCAGTAGAAGAAAACTGAAATAAGAAATGTTAGTAAGTGGGATATGATCCCTGTCTTGCATTGTAATGTACAAATTGTACAATAAAATTATTAAAAACAAAAAACAGTAAAGATGTTTACAATTAATAAACATTGCTATTTAAAATCATTTTAATTCACATTTCTATTTTCTATTTCATATTTTTAATCTATTCCAAACTTTCGGTTCATCATCAAAAAACTTGAAAAACACCACATATTTCAGATTTCAGTAAGCAGCACAACCTTTTTCAGTGAAGAAGAAGCAGGAGGACGAGGAAGAGGGTAATTTTGTGAAAATGCAAACAATACAAGAGAAAGATATCAACATGATTGTCAATCAGTATAAAAATGGATCAAAGAAGCAAAGTGATAATTAACAAATTTTCCACATACCAGTTCCTAAAGGACTGAAATATCAGAGTGAGGAGCGATTTTCATATTCAGTCACAAGAGGGAGCTACAGCAGCTTCATCGGGAGAGTGAAAGTGAAAGTGACCGAGTATGAGCTCTGCATTTATCCCATTCAAGTGAACACACACACACACACACACACACACACACACACACACACCTTGAAAATAAATTTATTTCATCAAACTACACATATTCGTTTGAATGGCCTTCAAAGAAGGAAGATGCTCTGCGTCTCCAGATAATGTAGTTACAACATCCACCAGCAGAAGTGATCATGGACCGGAAGAGAAGAGAGAAAACTATACACAACATAAGCCATGATAATACAAGTGCTGTGAAAATCCACCAAATATTATACATCCATCTCAAAACAGAGGATTTTAATAACCTTCACTATGATAGATTAGTCAGAGTTCAGTGAGGAAAGTGAGCTGCTATATAACAAGTCTGTTGATATTTCCTCATCAAACACACAGATCACTGAATAATATACTGAGAGTTTCACAGGAGCTTCTAGTGATGGTGATCAGATCAAATCTGAATTAAAATCAAAAACAGGCTCAGGTGGTGATCACATAACTCATAAAATAATTTAGGTCTTTGACATGTTCGGTCACTAGTTGGCGCTCCAGCAGAGTCTTTAGGAGACATGTACTGTCTGTACACCATTAAAGGGGTCATATGATGCGATTTCAATTTTTCCTTTCTCTTTGGAGTGTTACAAGCTCTTGGTGCATAAAGAAGATCTGTAAAGTTGCAAAGACTAAAGTCTCAAATCCAAAGAGATATTCTTTATAAAAGTTAAGAGTTAACCACGCCTACCTAAAATGGCTCGTTCTAACACGCGAAACTACTTTGTTTGGTCTTCCAAAAAAGGACTAGAAATCAGTGGTTATGTTGTATTTACAACACTGTTCCAGAACA